AATGTGTGCGATGTTTAAGCTTAGGCCAGGCTGGCGGCGATAGTGGGGCCGGTCGCCACGATGACTTCGACGCTGTTACTGTTGACGTGTCGATGACGTTGAGGAGTTCGACGATGATAACGACGACGGCGATATCGGTGGGGAGTGATGGTGATGATGATGATGATGATGTTGATGATGAAGATGAACATCATCGTCATGGTAGTCAGCATCATGATCATGATCTGATGATGATGCCGGCCATGATCAAGACGCAGTTGAAGTCGTGGCAATGATTGTGGTGATGGCGACGTTGGCAACGACGAGAATGATGAGGGTTATGGAGCATGGCGACCAAGTTGAAGACGGTTCGATCATCATGTCGAAGGTGATTTTGTTCATGCTAATGAAACGAACGACCACCGGGACGACAAGCAACATGATCATGAGTCGGACGATGGAACTGCAGGCTCAAAATCGCAAGGTTGTGATGGCGATGTGATGGTGCCAGTGGTGGTGATGTAGTTGTGGTTGTTGATGTTGTTGCTGTCGCTGTTCCAACTGCTGCTGTTATTGCTGTTGTTGATGACGGCAGTGATTGTACTGAGATTCAATTGCAATGCCGACAACAATGGCAAGGACATGTGGTGAGAATGTCAAGGAGAGCGAAAACTGAGATACACATTTAATATTGTTTTCACGAACTAGTCACGAACCTGCTTCCGGAGCTTTGGGGAGCTCCAGAGGCTCACCAGGTGTCGGGCCGACAGAAGAGTTTGTCAGTGTAGGAGCTGCATTGAATTTGCACTTTGCAGAAGATTCAGGGAGTTGGTATCTGAACTTTGGTCCTACTCCTAGTCCTAGCGTTATTCCAGGCATTTCAAGACCTTGAAGTCTCGCTGCGATGTGCCATCAGGTTGCCCTGGACATGAAGATGAAAGGCGAGGGCATCCTCAAGGTGGGCTTGCAGGGATTGCGGGGAAGTGCAGCTGGGCATTCTCGTCAGGGTCTAGGACATGCCTTCCCTTGGGACAGAACGGCACCACACCGCGTGAGTCTAGAATCTATATAGAAACTAGGAAGCACCTGAGCAGATCCTTCCTGAGTGCTGCAATTTCATGAAGCCCCATGTTGCCAACTGCAACTCATAACTGACGAGGCAAAGTCCACCGAGTTGGAGAACTTCATGAAGAAGTCAGGGCAGATGCTGTCGAAAGCGGCGGCTCAGCAGCATGTGTCTACTGCCCACCTCGTAATGTCATCACAAACAGCTCGTTCGACGGCGTTGCATGCCGACTTCATCCAGAAAGGACTCGTTTCGGATGTCTTGATTTTCTCGTCGCAATCCCTGTGACTTCACTTCTTATGTGAGGCTGAGAGTGCCATCGCCACGGGTCAGCTTGAGACTGCGACCCAGGCTGTGCCCTGCAGCATCGGGTTGTTGCGCACATTGCCAGCATGAAGTCCCGGATGGCCGAAACAGTGATCACGAGTCCTCGAGCAGAGCAGCCAGCAGTCCTGGTAGGCTCTGCTGGCAAAAGCTCGTGCCTGAGAGCGTCCTGTGCTCGCCGGGCTGGTGATGTCGCCTTCACTCCGCAACAAGTCTCCCTCGGTCCGAAGTACGAGGCCCGCGTCCCTGAGAGCAACAAGGAGCAGGACTGCGTGCAGGCAGCCACGGCATCAACGGTTGGACTTTGATTCTACCAGGTTGCGCAGTGATTGATGTGACGCTTTGTATCCATAGCATTACGATCGCTTTGTCTATCGACAAAGTGGCCATGCTATCTTGCAATGCATGAAATGCATAAGGGGCATGACGCGCTAACACTAGGGCGGAGGGTGGGAGCTTGCACTGTGCAGAGAGCTGGCCCGAGCCTCAAGAAGCGGGCCTAGTGCAAAAGCCAAGGCCATCGAACTCCTCAAAAAGCAGTACGGCGAGAGTGGGCATCTCAGCCGTTTGCGAGGAGCTTCGACGAGGGGGGCTATGGCCCTGAAGCCTGCGCGAAGAGGTTTCTGAGATTTTCTCAGGTCACCCACAGACTCAGAACGCCAAGACCGTCGCACTGGGACTGGGCGTGCGGGCCTTGGGATTCGGCAACTTCGAGGATTGTCTCCAGTGCAGCATGATTTTACTCTCGCGGAGTGCACAACAAGGTTGTGTTTGGTAAGTTCAGATATAACGTCAAGCAACAGGGTGAACAGCAGCACAACGCAAAAGGTGTAGTCACGGTGTTAAGATAGTCCTTTCGTGTGAGACCGTGAAAGCATCGTGCGGCAGGTTGAGGGGTGTAGTAAGAAGGCATGACCATGAGGGCGATCAGGGGTGTCCGTTTGGCGAAAACAAACCGAAATGAAGTTGAAATTGTCCAGAAGTACATCGAACCTCACGAATCTGGGCTCGTCGCTTGCAGACTTCGACGTGCCCTCCTTGGTTTAGGGCCTGTTTGCAGTTGTCTCGGCGAGCCCTGCAGCAACACCCGCATGCTGGCCTCTGTAAGGGACAGCTACCGAGGTTCCAGCTCTTTTAACGTCGGATTCGCTTTTTCGATTGACATTGAATGGGGTTGTGCAACAGTGTGCTGGATGACTAGTCGCGGCGAAGATTCTCGTCACGGCATCAGGTACACGTGTGATATGCGGGAACGATGGATGATTGTCTCCTGACTGCGGCAACCTGAGGAAGATCTTTAGGCTGTCCAGAGTTCGTGCACACAAGTGCAGCGCCTTTCAAGAATGATATGCTTTCAGTGCGAGAGCAGCAGAGCTGGCATGGCGAACATTTCGACAGTCTTTTCTAGAAAGGCCTTGCCCCCGAGGCAGCGGTGGCCAAAGGTGCCAAACCGCACCTCCCGGCTAATGAATATGCTTGCCGCAGCGAGCCAGCCTTCGAGCCAATCATTGAGAATCCTTTGTTAGGCGGGTTCCGCTTCCCTTCTCCATCCGCGATAACACCACACACGAAATGGAAGTTAGCGCCCTTCCCTCAGCACAGCACCACAACACGCGGCGCCAGGACGGGGCCGAGAGGGTTGTCTTTTCGAGGCCAACGCAACGGAATTTACCACGGAACGCGCTTACCGGAGGATGCAGATGCACCGCTATTATCACTGAGAGTGGTGTCATTTCACTCATGGCCAACATTTGGTCTTCGAGAGGTTGGCCCTTGGGTATTCGCGAGGTTGCCTCTTATCTCTAGTTTTAATATCCATTATAGTGATTTTCATGCACGAGTCGCCACGCATCGCAAAATGGCACCCTGCTTGTGGTGCCGTGACGATTTGTGATCGGATTTGGTAACCCTGGCGGGGGACGCGGCGTGTTCGCATCCTCCGGAAGGCGCGATCCATGGCGATCCACTCCCTAATTCCGAAGCGCGCATCATGCTGATAAGTTGCTTCGCATGAATTTTATCACATCATGCCATCCAGCAGACCCCTTGACCCGGCTTTCGGGAACAAGCGCAGCATAGGGAAATCAAGTATCATGCAACATCGTTGAACAAAAGAAGCCTAGGGTTTCACTCTTCACGGCAGGGCAAGATCTCATCCAGTGGGTCGGCCACTTACAGGCTCAGTGACACGGTAAGTAGTGCAACCCCGGGGTACCTCCTGAAGCACTTGTAACCTAGTTACCTATCGTACTGGTAGATAAGTTCCCACGCTCACAGGCGCTGCTGCAATCTGTATGGCTTGTTTGACATGCCAGGCTGTTGCTTCTCAACTCATGGCTGCGCAGGAAAAGCCGCCCGTACAGTCGATGTCTCCAACTTGGTTCCGGCGTGTGTGCGAGTGAGTCCATGAGGACCGTGGCATCTCGCCCGTCCAGCCTCAAGCCCTGCGCACTGCAGCTCCCACATCCTATAGCTGCTCGAAGCCATGGGAAAGACGGCGAAGAAAGGCGAGAAGAGCTCCAAGTCCAAGGACACCGAAGCCTAATTACGATTAAAGGCCCCGAGGAACTCAATTCCGCTTGATTCGACAGTTTGCTGGGTACAAATGAGTTGCTTTGTGCTACCTGCGACAGGTTGCCTTCTGAGGCATTATCCCTACCACAGTCAGCTGTGTAAGTTTGCCTCCCAAACTCCTTGGGACCCATCCGCGTCGTTCATGCCCTTGCTGCGGGCTTGACAGGAGCCCACCACCCGGGACTGCACCATCCACCTGTTCTTTGGCTGAAACGATGTTTCCGCGTTCGGACAAGATCTGGAGTCATCTGCGCATTGCAGCTCCAGCTCGTGGTCCGTGTATGACCCAGAACGATTCATCTCAGGGCTTGGCCGCAGTTTCGACCTGCTACAACGGTTTGGTTTGCGGCCATCCATGCGTCATGATTCAGAAACTGAGTCATCATGGCTTCAGTTGCTGCATGAACCTAAGATCTTCAGCGAGCTCAGACACCAGGCACAAGCACATGCAGAAGATCTCCTTCAAGAAGAGGGCTCCGCGTGCAGTCCGAGTGGTGGTGGCCTCAGTGCAGCGTGATTTTCGTGCATCCTCCTAGCCATTCCTAGCCTAGCAAGAGCCTAGCAGAGCCTTCATGACTCCTCTGAGCCCCTTGCCAACTTTGGGGTTCGCTGGGATTCTGAGGTTCGCCAGTTTGCGAGCAAGGTCATGCTCACAAAGGATGTTCGAATCGAGCCTTGAGTGCAGTTTCAGAAGACTAGATCGGGTTGGTGATCTAGGGTTTAGGATGGTTTAGGGCTTGCGGGGCTTGCGTTAGCAAGTGTCGAAGCTTAAAGTGTAGAAGGACGACTGCCCCAGTGCATCGGGCTTCGCTGCTTGTGTAAGTATACCCTGCTCGCTGCCGTGGTTGCAGTGAGTTTTCAACAGATATGTCGCTGCTCACGTGCTACCACTGATCCTCCTTCCAGGCACGATTCCGAAGAGTATCTGTGCGTGCATCTTTCCTGTTCCAGTCCGTGGCGTGTTCTAGATCTCGAGGCTGGCATAACGTATAGCGTCATACTGCGTGGAGGCATGCTGAGCGTTTGACCGCATTTCAACATTGACATAAAGACTCAGGACACCAAGCTGAACAAGTTCCTGTGGAGCAACGGCATCCGCAACGTGCCCCGCCGCGTGCGCGTGCGCCTGTCCCGCAAGCGCAGTGAGGACGAGGATGCCAAGGACTGAACAGCCAGGGCTTGCAAAGTCACAGTGAAGCCTCAATACACCTGCCGACGTTCACCCAACACACCTAGTTATACGAACTCCTTTCTTTCGGGCTACTTGTTGGTGAAGTGGTCACCCTGGCGACAACATGAGGAGAAGATGTTCACCTTGGTCCAGCACGTGCCTGTCGAGAGCTTCAAGGGGCTCGAAACGGAAAACGTCCGGGATGAGTGAAGCAGCAGGCCAGCAAATCCAGGAGCTGGTATGAGAGGTCTTGTACCGGACATTGGATCTGCGTTGTTGTATGTACCTGTATGTGCCTGTTTTAGAACACAAGGCACCAGAAACATTCGCTGCAACTTGGGTCTGGTGGCAAATTCTGGTCGATGCTGTTGCAGGCAGACTTGACCTGAGCGAGTGCGAGCGGGCAGTGGGTAGACGGCAGAAGAAAAATCACAGCCTTGGCAGAGCATTGAGCTGTGAGCTTGGAGATTACTGCTTGCATATTCATGCTGATTTGTTGGAGCAACCTGCGCACCTCTGCCTCGTCTGGGCAGAGCAGAGCCTCACTGTGCAGCACAGCTGAAGTGGCCCGGACATTCGGTTCAATACCCACGCGGGCCAGAATGCACTGCTGTACTGCTACAGTCATTATGGGCTGGCCACCGACATGTTTCGGTTGCTTGGAACACCAGTCAACGAGCTATGCCATTGCAGGCGAGGCCCCAAAATCATCAGACCTCAAGATCCTTGTGAGTGTGCGCTGCAGAGTAAACTTCAATCTGAAACATTGCAACAGCAGGGGAGTGGAACTCGAAGACCTCTCAGCTAGAAGCTTGGCCCTCGACAAAATCTCTGACTGTGGTGTTCCTGCCATCGATTCTGTTGTTACCCATGCTCAACTCCAACGCTGGCGTTCAGTGTTTGCGTTTTTTTCCCTTCTTGTTTTGCCCTATCATTCCGTATGACTGCCGACATGTTTTAAACCTCTCAGCTGCATGTTGTCTGGTGAATGTAGTGCTGCTAGAATTGCCATTGCCGTTGCCGCTGCTCGGGCCTGAAGCTCGCGCCTGTGCAATGGATGGCCACGGTGAGAAATCTGTGGATCAGCGAAGTCCTGAGCTGCTTGGGTTAGACGAGTCCATGATCTTTTCACCGTACTCGTCGTCGTCGCCGTGGTCGACACAGTGACATTACGAGTGTCATCATCATCACCACCATCACCATCACCATCACCATCACCCCCCACCCCCACCCCCACCCCCACCCCCACCCCCACCACCACCACCACCACCAGCAGAAGCAGCAGCAGCATCATCATCATCATCAGCCGGACGGAAGGATGGCTGGATGGATGGATGGATGAGTGGATGGGCGAGTGGATGGATGGATGGTTTCGGTGGATGGATGGATGGATGGATGGATGGACCGATGGATTCGATGGAAATTCCCCTTCTCCTTATCAACACTGTTTCGGCAAGTATTGCTACAGCAGCTATGAGTGAGTCAGTGCCACAGGCTCGGGATTGTTCTCAGGCTTTCGGTCGGCATGCTCGCGTCTCTGATGCAGCTCCAGGCCACGATGTGCTTCTGCGACCCTTCCGTCAAGAGAACAGGAAGCAAAGTTTTTGCCCAAAGCCCCAATCCCAGAAGCAGCTCTGTCTAGAAACGCTGCATGCATCAAAGACTTCAGGGCTGTGTGCACTCGAGGCATCAAGTGCCAGCCAAAGGTGAAGATGGAGTGCGTTATGCTATCAAAGCTATTTTCTATTCTATTATGTTCCATTCTATTCTATTCTAACATATTATACTACATTATACAATATTATATTAGACTATACTATATTGTGCTATATTTATATGTGTATTTATTTTTATATTTTATTGTATTGTATTATAATATATTATATTGTATTGTCTTATATCATATTGTATTGTATTATACTATATTATATTATATTATAATATATTATATTATATTATGTTATATGGTGTTATGTTATGTTATTATGTTATATTGTATTATCTATATATATTATTATTATTACTATTATAATTATAATTATAATTATAGTTATAATTATA